AACAAGAAACGTGTTCTTTTAGATAGCAGCATATATACCTCTATAGGTAGCAGTAATCTAGGAGGACAAGCGGCGTCTAATTCCTCGCGCCCAGCTTCACATTAACCTAAGTCAGGTTTCGATGGGTTTCACTTCAGCTTGATACGCTCGAAAGGTGCCCTGATATTATCTCTACACGGAAAGCTCTTACTGAATTGTCTTCAACACTGGATAAAGTCTACGAACGAGTTTTGGGGGGCGTCCATGCTGAAGACGAGCACACCTCCACAAACTTACCGCCACAGCAGACAACATATGAACAGCCGATAAATCTCAATCCGGCTGTAGATCCGCAAGTCGATTCTATGATCGCTCTTGCTCCCGTCAACTCATATTCTAGTTCCAGCGTCAGCTATGTCTCAAAACGAGTGTTTTCCGAATCCAATTCTCACGAAACTGCCTTGACGAGCATGGATGTCGAAAGCGCAGTTGCCCCATCGCTGTTATCCTCAGAAAAGTATGAACCACCAGCCCCTCCGGATGGACGAGACGAAGACATCAGATCGCTCAAATCCGACGACTCTGATAACCAATCACAAACCAATACACGAAGGCCCCGTACAGAGATTTATGCCATCAAACAACTTACGAATCTTCTTGTGGAGCACGAAAATATGATCAGTGTCAACAGAGGCCATCGAAAGGATGGGGGAAGAACGCTTCATTCGAAATTATCGCAGAATCCTCAAGACATACTATCGAAACTTATTGGTTCGAGCACAAAACAAATTTGAACGGGAAGCAACTGTTTTCCTGGGAAGACGTTCGAACCAGATCCGCATAGCAGAAGGTATTGTAGAGCGTATATTCGCTCCAGATGAGGATTTCGAAGGAGAGAGCTCTAAAACAAAACAAAGAGTGGAACAAAATGTCATTGGTAGATGGCTTCAAGGTATCCCTGGCAGTTATTCCAAAGAAAATATCCTGCAAGAACCATTGAAGGAGGCCAGCGATCAAGAGCTTGACAACGAGTCTAGTAGCGGTGAAGATATTGATTACGATGTTGATTTCTCTAACTTCAACGCCGCAAAAGACTTTTTCCAACGAGGAGCTCCATTCAAAACACTTCTACTGGACGTCAGGCTCTTGTCCTTACCGGCGTCGCTTCGTGAGATTTTTGAAACGGTCCCCAAAAAATTCATCAGCATTTCTTCCACCAAAGAAATTTCTCGGGCAGACAAAATCAAAGCGTTCATTGAGGACCGCACCAAACTTCAATGGGATTGGTGGCCGCTAGCTCCACGACTACATGAAATAACACTTGGAACCGAGCGATTAAAATGGAAAGTATGTGAATGGAAACTCAATCATGCTCAAGTTTAGATGTTAACTTTTATAGCTCTACAATTATCCAATGAACACCTTTGTATCCCTAGAATACGCTAGTTCTGTCAGAGAGATCATAAAGATGATGCCTGACTATCCACAAGATTGCTATTGTTGCAACGTTGAAATACAGCACCGTCTCCAATTTGCAAGATGGGTAGCTCCCTTTTTGCTTGAACCACTTCTAAGAAAAATTGAAAATGGACCTGGGGCATCAAACGCACAAAAGCAACCCACACCACCGCCTGCTCATCCATCTTCTTCAACGCCGAGCGACAATCGAACCACTCAAAGAAACTCCAACGCTATACCAGAGGGTAACAACCCTATAGATCCACCACAAGCCCCATGGCAAATGCCAGGCGTTCCACAGAATTCCCCAATTAGCAATACCAACTTGCTCATCTTTGGAATCCCAGTTTCCGGAGCAATTCACATGCTCGAATTCATAAAAATTTACGACCATACCAGCGATGGTGATCTTTTCACTGAACTGAAAAAGAGACACAAAATACATTTCGGTTGGATTAAACGCTGTTTTTCACCTTTTCGTTTCAGCTTTTGCAAATTTGTCAAGGTAATCATGAGAATATCACACTATTCTACCAACACTAACAGCCTGCCCGCAGTTCGAAATCGTAGACTCACGCGAACTTTCCCGTTGCGTCGGCGAAAGTCTACCGGATAATAGCGGTAATAAGCACATAGATTACAACTATCAACCCCGCCCTGGGAAAAATCCCCCAATTGACCAAGAAAAGTTCAAAGCCTATCTCACAGCCTGTGACAGTCAATGTAATGCATCCTTTCGAGATATTTTGCATTACTGTTTCAAGATCGCCCCTGAAAAACAAGAGGCTTTGAGTTTTATCCCCCAGAAGCGGAGCGACCTGGCATTGAACCCAAACAGGGGCCTAGACGTATGGGGACTTCAAGCTAACTACGCTGTATCTTTTCTTTTTGTAGTGGTTTATTATTTGTTCACGATGGGTTTGACATACATCTTCCTTATCTGCTGGCTGTCTAGGCATCCTAACGATCTGCAAAATGCTTCTATTCCGTTTTTTATGCTTTCTGCAATGTTGCCACAGATTCTCGCAATAACTGGATTGGCCTTTAGTCAATATCTCTTATAAATAGTCCCATCTTTTATAGAAAAATGTGCCCGCGATGCACTGAAATATCAACGGAGTTACTACGTGTGAAGCTGGGCGCGAGGAATTGGACGCCGCTTGTCCTCCTAAATTACTACTACCTATGGAGGTTTATATGCTGCTATCTAAAAGAATACGTTTTCTCTTTAAGATCCTTATTCCCTTGCAGTGGATAAACGTGTGGTGTAAGGGGTAAGGCTGTAGTGTAACAACTAACTGTAATAAGGCTGAAAAAACGAGAGTTATCCGAGTGATCCTGGCTGACACTACGAAACTTTTTAGATCTTCGACAATATTTAAAAAAAGATCCAAAAGAATAGATGTAAAAGATCTGATTATAAACTTTTTTCAATGCGGCACCGACTCTAACTCAACCAAAGTCTAGCCGGCACAACAATCATACGGCTATAGTGGCTCACAACACCAGCTCACGGCGAATACCACCCACCGTGATAAACTTACTACGCAAAACAACAACCGAAGAACAAAATCCAAAAAGCAAAAACATACAACAGCTGGGATTCGCTAGTGGTCACCCACCTAACTACTAATCAGCCGGTTCATAGCTTATGTATGGCAGAGCGGACGGGATGCCCAGTATTCTATGACCTGTGGTCGTATGTGCTTATATTTTTTGCAAAATTATCTTATATACCCCAATCAACAGATGCCCTGTGCATTCCCGTCCGTTCCGGATGACGACCCTCGGAAGGCCAAGCCCATGCTCACCATCAACGTCCAGGGCATCTCCGCCATCACGCAAGCATTCGCGCTGCTGTTGATTGCTGTGGCGAGACGCCGTTGTGAATGCGTCGTTGCTGTCGGTTTCAGGCTTCTACCACACCTCCAAAACGGCGCTGCAGACATTTAATGTGACACAGCGCCTCAGGCGGTGGCCGTTCCACGTGCCTGTCGTGTTGGGCGCGATCGAGAGCGACGTTTCCGCCAGCGTGCCTCCGCTTCGTCTGCCCGAAGGCTCGCTGCGCGCTCGACGACTACGTGCGCGATTTGTCGGCAACTTTCTTGGTGTTGCATGCAAGGTCCACCGTGGCGAGGTGGCTAGCCAGGTTCGAGTCCTTGTGGCCTGTGGCTGGCCTTTTGTGTGTTCTTCATTTCTTCTTCCCGGTAGGGTTCAGCTCGTCCACGTTGGTCCTTCTCTTGTGGCTGCCGGATTGGTGATCCTATAGAGTACAGGCCTGGCTGGCAAAGTAGAAGAGTGAAGCGGATGTGGGGTCGAAAAGATGAAGTTGGTGCAACGTCTTTCGAAGAGGATGGCGTTTGTTGTAGCTAGTTGGATGATTCCTTTGTTGCTATTTTCTGCCTTTTTACAAATTAGCACTGGGCATAGACGATAGAAAATATCAGACGAATTGTCTTGAATCCGCAATCAACCTCATTCTCATGCTGTCTGAGTGAGGTAATCTTAGAGTAATTCCACAATCTCGGTATTCTTTGCAGCAATGGCGAAGTCCAACGGAGTTGCTCTATTATTCATTGAAGCCGGCCCAGCACCGTAACTCAAGAGGACTGTCGTGGCCTCAAAGTTTCCTCTCCACGCTGCCATGTGGAGAGCTGTTTCGCCGGCGTTGTTTCGTGCATCAACGCTTGCTCCAAGCTCAAGGAGGTAGCAGACGACAGGCTCAGAGCCGTTTGAGGCTGCAGAGTGGAGTGCTGAATTGCCCCACTTACATCTATAACCCTTTCTGTTAAAATGGCTCCGCGATTGCATAAAAGCTTGACTGTAACCAAATGGCCGTTGTAGGCGGCATCCACGAGGGGGGTGTATTCATGTTCGCCTCCTTTATTTTCCATTGAAGCTCCATGGTCGAGCAAAGCTTTTACTACCCTGGTATGGCCATTTTTAGCAGCGCCCTGAAGGGGGTATATCCGTCTTTGCATTCCACGTCAACAGTCGCACCGCCTGAGAGGAGTAGATCAACACAAATAGCCTGGCCACTATAAACAGCCTGACCACAATAAGCAGCAGCATGTAGTGGCTGGGAATGGTTGGAGGTTTCCTACTGCTATCGTAAGTGGCGTGTGCCCTTTGGCTGTTTCGAGATTTATGTCAGCTCAAGCACTGACGAGTTTCTGAACGCAAAGAACATCTTTTGCGAACATCGCCAAATGGATTGGAGCCTCCATGCCCGTCTCTTTAGATGTTCTCGCATTGACGTCTGCTCCTGCATTAATAAGGAGCTTGATTGCGTGAGAGTTGGATTCTGAAGCTGCCATATGCAAGGCGGTCCTTCCTCTAGAATCCTTTAGCTTTGGATCCGCTGCTTTTCGAAGGAAAAACGAAAGAATTGCTTTATCGAGGGTAGCAAGTGAGAACCTGGTCTGGAACGGAAATCAGAAGTCTGTGATTCCCTTCTCCGTGAAGAAATCGAGAGCCTTCGGGTGCCCTATGGAACGCAGAACGATGTACAGTCTCGGGCTGGCCGAGGGTAGTTCCAAGATTCTCAGCAGGTTCGAGATCTCACAGATGGCTTGGTCCGAGAACTTTGTCACAGGCTTTGAGTGGTTTTTAAAACGAAAATTCAGCCGACGCGCCGCTTCGGCACTCGTAATAGTCGAATCAAGAGATCGGTATTCTTGACATGGCTGAAGCTTGCCATCCGAGAGAGTTTCGGGATCTACGGTGGCAGCCATCTTGCGACAGGGCAGGAGATAGGAACGTACAAGCAGAGCCGTAGCAAATGACGGAGACAATGCAGAACGAGGCTGAGAATTCCAGTTCCAGCTATGAAGCAGCTCTGCTTACGTATTTCCCGGCGGCTATGCATGGTCAACGTGGCCATCGGATAAGACTTGCAGCTTTCTGCATCGTCGTTGTTTGGGGAAAGATTGCGACAAGGTATCTGTGACCGCGTAATCCGTACCTCCATACGTCGTGAGCGCGTCGTCCAAAGCCCCATCGACGCCGACGGAAGCCCATTTCGATACCTACAACAGACCATAAGAAGACAAAGAGTAACTCATCTCCAATGGATCATGATTCTCTCTTTAGCTTGCATTTGGCAATTGTTGGACGGGACTTTTAGCGGCTACAGTGGTCGAGTAGACCAACGCATACTGTCATTGCTTTTCGCCTATGAATCCCAAGCGACAGCACATACTAGCCACTGTAGGTGTATTGGGTATCCTGCATGCCCGGATGTCCAGATGGAGTGTGTAAGGCGGTTGGAGGAGTTGGTTGAGTGAAGCGGTTCTGAGTGGCCCGCTCTGTTCCGCTTCGCCGCGGTCTGTCACGTGCCTGCGCACTGGGACGCTGGGACCTTCGCTCACCGCCCGCCCGCTCAGGTCGGACACGACAGAACAAACCAACATCGCGACCGACGCCGCGCTCACCGACACCTCGACACCCTCCCGCCGGATCGCTCCACACCCAAATGTTCTCACACCTCGCGCATCCTACGTGTGCGCTTTCGCCCAGCGCCCCTTTGCCCTCACCGTCAAGCCTGAAAACGTCCTCGCGACGCCCCCGAAGCCATCTCCGCAACGAGCACAGACGCCCGGCTGTCGAGAATCTGGCCGCTGAGAGCCATGAGCATGGCCTTCGGGATTAAGGCTCCAAGAGCATCCGGACTGGTACACTGATGGAGACGCGGCTTAGATTTGAGCGTGCGGGCAGGGACACGAACCGAGCGACCTCGGCTGCGGCGGCGGAGGCGCAGAGGAGCAAAAGGAGCGCCGGCTAAGGGACATTTGCGCATTGGCGGCGAAATACCGATCCCCCAACAGGTCTACTCGAGACGGATTTCTCGATTGAAAGAGCCAGGGAGCTCGGCGGCGGTGGCGATGCTTTTTGGGGCAGCGCTGAGCTGGACCAGTAAGAGCAACGGTAATTCGGCGCGGCGACCGCACAACGGAGTTTTTTGGGATTGGACCGGAGACGTGTTATGCGTGTGTTTCGAGCAGGGGGCCTTCCGCAAGTACATCATCCGGCAGTCCAAAGATTGTCGGCAGCGGTTAGGGGCTGATCGGTGGGCGCATGTTGGGTCGTGCTCGAGTGCTGGCCTTGCTGACTGACGGTGAGTTTGGATGGCCTGCCGATGGAATGAACGGCTCCACACGCAGATATACTACATACTACGTAGTACTCTGCTAAATAAAGGTAAGCTTGACGTCTAAGAGTGCTCGTAAGTTAATATAAGGGATAATAAATGAACTTCTTATAGCGATTCTGTAGATATAAAAGAGACGGATATAGAAACTTTTGCCTAGCGTTTCGGACGACGGACGTTTGCCGGTCGGTCCGCAGGGGGCGCATTACGTGCGCGAGAGCAAGGCGAATAGGGCAGGTACCCCGCAAATTTAAGGGCGTGTTTCAGGGGTGTCGCGCACAGCCCAGCGGCGGCAGTGGCACCTCCTTCTTTCCAGCAGCCCTCTCAACCACCACCACCACCACCACCACCACCGTCATCACTTGGAATCGCAACACCAACAACACAACCATCGATCATGATGAGTGACTAACTATCGCGACTACCTCAATTGATCCAACGAATAGTTACCTAACAAAAAAAAAAGAGAAAGGAGCACTTCAGCTACTGCAAATAGATTGTCTACAACACTCCAACCACCCAACCAACACACCCCGTATCCGCTGGCGGTGATCGGCAGTGGACTCCAACGGACCAATGCTTGTTTCTAGAAGTCGTTTGGAGGGTCGAGCCGCCGAGCGGGGGTGACGACGCGGTAAGGTCGGAGCGGCAGGGCTCGCTTGCGCTGAAACGCTCGTGAGATGAGCCCGGGAGCAGACGGTGGGCCGTTTCCGACCCATGCTGAGCAATAAACATGCTGTGAGTGGATCGTTGCCATACTACGCCCCACGCTGGGTAATAATCATGCTGTGAGTGGGCGGGTAGGTATATAGGAAGGTCAAGCTGCTGCTCTGCTCTTCTCTTTCCCTCCTCACGCTCACAGTCCAGCGATCGCTTTCTCTTTCAGTCATTCTTTTCTGAATATCCACACTCTTTCGGCCCGGCGCCTACATCACATTCTCTCAACAACTTCAAAATGCGTTCCGTCTTCACCTCCGTCGCCGCCATTGCTGGCGTTGCCTCCGCCGCCACGGCCCCCTACACCGACAGCACCACCGGCATCAAGTTCTCCCAGTACACCGACAAGTCCGGCTATGCCTTCGGCATGGCCGTGCCTGAGACGGTTGGCAAGGACTTCATTGGCCAGATCGTCGCCCCCGGTGAGGGCTGGGCCGGTGTCTCCCTGACCTCGTCCATGATGGCCTCGACCCTGATCGCGGCCTGGCCCAACGGTGACGACGTCATCGGCAGTCTGCGCAAGACCACCACCTACACCAACCCCAAGGCCCTGACCGGCGACGCCAAGCTCGTCCCCATTGCCGAGGGTACCTCCAAGAACGAGACGCACTTCACCTACACCTTCCTGTGCCAGGGCTGCATCGTCGGCGACACCTCGACCTTCAAGGCCGACGCCAAGAGCGCCGTTCTTGGCTGGGCTCTTGCTGACGCCGCCCCCACGAACCCCGAGTCCGCCGACGAGGCCGTCCTCGCCTACCACAAGACCGGCTTCGGTGCCTACGGCCTGCCCATGGCTGATGCCGAATCGGCCGACTACGAGACCTGGGCCGCCATGGCCAACGGCAGCGGCTCCTCCGGCTCCGGCTCCAGCGCCGGTGCCTCCACCCCCGGTGCCTCTACCCCCGCCGCCGCTGCCTCCACCCCCGCTGCTGCTGCTTCCACCCCTGCTGCCGCTGCCTCGACCCCCGCTGAGGCGCCCGCTTCGTCTGCTGAGGCTCCCGCTGCCACCTCTGCCCCTGCCCAGGGCAGCGTCACGACCACCACGATCATCAAGACCGAGGCCGTCACTTCGACTGTCTACGTTTAAGTCTGAAAAGGCTTGGAGGGGGTTGGCTCTCGACCTGTCGGCATCGGTGATGCATCGCGGGCTTGAGTGAGGAGGAAGGGTCTATGTAATGGACGGATAGATGGCTAGACGGACGACGATTGATCGCTGGACGGATACAGTTCTCTCTTCGGAGCTGAGTCTCCCTTCATATAAATACATTCATATATATGCATGCACATATCTTCTTCATAGAGAATTGCGTACAAAGCATCTGATTTCATGACTATCTATTTGATTGAGCATTGGCGTGCCGGTTTATAAGTGATTGTGCTGGAAATAGGTGACCTAAATTGAAGGGGATTACGCCACCACAACAGCGTTACATCTCAATATTCTCCACGCCCCGCCACAGCTCTTCTCATGATAGAAACCCCAAGCCTTACTATATCTCCGCTCCGTAGGCTCGTAGCAACCTCGCCGCCTCACCATCCGTAGCCACACACCCATCCCTCAACAACGCAGCATCAAAGCCCTTCAAACTCGTATCCTGCAGCGTCTCCAACACACAAACATCCGTATTCACGCCCGCAAACAGGTAACGTCCTCACCATCCCTCTAAACCCACTCTTACTAACACTATGCAAACTATTCCTTACGCTTCTGGTCACATCAGTGTCGGCACATTTCCGCAATTACCACTACGTGTCTATACCTCGCAGTCCATACCCACATAGACCTCTAATCTCATGTCCAACCAGATTGTTAGATTCCAAAACATCTCACGTGTTCTATTGTCGGGTCGCTCAAGTTAGCGCTGCTGCGCCACTGCTGTGCCGCTGATGAGCAAGTGATTGTGATTGTGATAAAAGGTGACGCGCACTTACTCGGCTAGGTGCTCATTCCTTCGAATCCTTCCTTTCTAAATAAAGACTTGTAAAGGGTGTAGGTGCATCGGATTGAAACTCGGCGTCTATGTCTTAGCTTCTGAATCGCTATTCCTTGCGCGGCCCGTTCCAATCCGACGTACTCACACCCCGAGAGATGCTTTATCACCAACAAGCGGCGGCTATGTATTCAATGTGATTTGATATTATAAAAAGCTTCGGCAAAGGAAACAGTGGGGGAGAAGAGCTTGTTGTATATATAAGGGAGGTTCTATGCTAGGCAACACAACATAAACATATCTCAACTGAAATCAAACCGCCACACTGTAAGTCTTTTGTCTATCCCAAACCTTGTTAAAATGCCCTCAAACAAAGATCGTCTGTATATCGCACTTTATGCCCGTGGGGGTAGTCCGACAATGCCAGGCAGAGAGGATACGTGAGTACTGACGAACCGTTCACGAGGGACTGCTAATATCTAACGAATGCTAGATATCATTGGGCTATCCTGGTTGGACCAAAGGTGGAAGTCGAGGGAGGAAGAGGCATGCGGTACCACGCAAAGGAAAGACTCCAGCAAGGAGGCGGGTCGGAGTGGGTTTTCGAGGAACGAGACACGCCTCTCACACCGACAAGCATGCTGCTCGTCCGCGTGCTGATTGGCAAGGTTGAGAAAAGAGACCGACTGCTTGAAGTCATGCAGAAAACGCCTATAAGACAAGGTCAACCAGGTTGGAACTGCGTAGGATGGGTGAAAGAGGTTCTGGAAACGCTCGCGGCCGACAAGAAAGCACTGGGTACTAGCGTCACTGATTGGGGTAAGGTACGAAATGCTGCCATGGGATACGTCCAGAGCAAGAAAGACCAGCATCGATTCGACGGACAGGGTAATTTCGATATGGGAAAGATACCAACGTACGATTTGATTGAGAACAAGGAAACGACTCCGTAGAGTAGACTTGATAAACTCAGAAGTCGCCGAAAAACCTTTGACGGATCTCCTCCATGGCCAGCTCTTTCGGCAGAGGTTCCAAGAATTTATCAATCTCCTCTCTCCAGAAGCTGTTTTGCGGATTTACCTGACAAGCGGTTGTATATTCCCAATACGAAGGAAACCACCCGGCAGTCTCCCAGTCGATGATGCCCACGATCTTGTCTTCCTGAGAAAGAATATTAAGACTGCTAAGATCGCCGTGAGTGAAATTAGGTGGTGGCCATGGCCCATCCTGCAGTTCGATAAGCTCATTGACCTTAGGGTCCAAGTTTGGATCTGGATGCAAGCCCCCTCTTAAGTGTTGGTGAAACGCTTGAATGCTCTCAAATGGTCCAATCCGCAAAGAAGGCCCCGGTAGACGAGGATCGAACAGTGGTCCGCCATCAACATTATGTACTCCTGGGCCTGATGCAGGTATATCTCGCATTTCCTGAACTAGCCGCTTTAGCTCAAAAAGGATGCTAGCCTTCGACTCTTCACTCCGCTGAACCCATCCTTGCCCAATCATGTCTCCGCTGATTTTTTCCATTACGATGTAGGTCCAATCGCCCCGTTTGAATGCGCAGTACACCTTTGGTACAGGTATGGAGGTTTTTTGTGCAATAAAACGCATTGTGGAGGCCTCCGCGAGGCATACGTGAGGTCCATACTTGACACAAAACTTGCCGGACAACATGAGGACATTGCCCTTCCGGGGTCGGAAGCGCTTAAGAAGCGCTATTAGGACAAGAACAGCGTACTGCCATATCCAAGAGTTGTTAATAGGTGCAGAATCCATTTGTAAGGTTCGTAATGAAGTTTTGGTCCGTGTTGGCTGTAATGAGGAGGCCAGGACGCGTAGCTATTCGACGACAGAAAAACTTCTGCGGGCGTCGCTTACTAACTACCTAGCGCCAAGCTGCAGTTCCGACCGTGGTCAATAGATCACGTGAGATATATGGCGAGATTATGGCGAATAACTAAATAATCACCTCGCTGAAATCAAGCCTTATTATAGTATAGATCTATAGTATAGAGAATGTAAGTCGCATGCCCTTCTTAGCTTAGACGTAAAATAGGAAATACAGCTCTTAGGCTACCCTAAGGCAGTCTTTTATCTATATACTCCTAATAAAGAAAAATAAAATTTTCGTAGAACGAAGTTCTATAGCTAGGTATCTCCTATAATTTAGCATGTTCTCTAAAAATTTAAACACTACTAGTAATTTATTATATTTAGTTTTTACTTAATTAATAAGATAAAAAGCTCCTCTAAAGTTTCTATATTCTACTAGACAGGTTTAATCTTTATTAGGGAGAATTGTAACAGTATCTAATTCTTCTCTTTATAAAAATTATAAACTATTCGGCGTGTAAGATATTTTAGTTATAGCTAAGGTAGGTAGTTATTGGAAATTTAACGACGTTGACCTTAGGAGGCTGTTGTAATGAATGGGGTTTTAATTAATAGTAATGAGTGATATAATCTTGTTAGGAGCCCGGTAGGCGGAGTCCTCTTATACCCTATGCTAAATAACTAAGCTATAGAAAAAGTAATATAAACTGCGTATACTTTAATATACCCCCTTCGCGTAGTGCCGCTTTAGGTAGTACGCGATAAACGCTGTAGTATTAAGAAAGGTAAGATAGTAAAAAGATAGTGGCTGATGTAGATAAAGAAATAGTTAATCTAAGGTGGTTATCTTCTGCTATATCTTATTTAGGCGTAGGGACTAGGCCGAGCTATTTAATAAAGGCTTAGTACCTTTGTTTTAGAAGGGATTTAGTTAGCCTATTAGCTATTATGTCTGCTATCGGAGTCTAACGAAAGCTGACGTTTCCTGCCTAAGCTTCTTAGCGAAGCTAGTAATGATAAATATCTATATATCTAAGCTTAGTGATAAGCTTAGTAATATTTTCTTCTATAAGGCGAAGAGTTTGCTTGTTATCGTACTGAATTTTAATATGGTGTCTAGGATTAAACTCTATTCCTCGGAAGAAACGCTTCTACTAATAGTACTGCTTGGCTGTGTCTGATAGAGTAAGGAGCTCTGCCTTAGTGCTTAAGGTAGTAACTGTGGGTTGTTTAGAGGATTTCTAATCGACCGGCCCTCTAAATAGTGTGATTAGTAAGCCCTGATGGCTACGACGCGTGGCTAGGTCGTTACTATATGATGCGTTACTGCTAATAGTAAAGACTGCCTGCTCGGGGGTATATCCCTGAAAGTAGATAGCTAGCTTGCGAGTGGCGCCTAGGTAGGCGAGCAAGCGCTAAGCGAGCTGCTAGTGTCGCGGCGAGGGGTTGCTTAAATAAGTAGAGAGGGAAGAGTAAGCGTAGGTAATATCTGTACGCGTGCTAACGGCTGTAAACTAAGCTGAGCCTATCTTACTTTAATACGTATAAACGTCCTGCGGCGTAGCGTAGTCCTCCTCGTTTAGAACTAACTATTTATTAGCCGGTAGTAGCGTTAGCGTATTTAGATTTTCCTTAACGTTGTAACGAGCTATAATGCTAGAGATATATAACTCTTAAGAGAGCTATAAAAGTCGCTAAGCGCGATCTCTTACTATCCGAAGAGTAAGGAACTACTAGACTTCTCCTATTATCCTTATCTTATAGCGCTGGAATAGGTCTTCCTAAAAGGCGTTAGCGAACTTTTCGTATTATTTATAGAAGGCTATAATAACATCGTTAACGAAGAAGAAAACGAATAAATATTCGTTAGTATAAAGGTAGGGAGCGTCTGGGATAGCTTCTAAGCCGAGGTCCTATAGTGTTCTATAAAAATACTTCTACTATAAGGTAGGTAATTCTTTTAATCCGTATAGCGCGCGCTTTAGCTATAGGATTCGGTCGTATAGAAGTTTTATACCTTTAGGCGGAGTATAGAAGGTTTCGTTTTCTAGTAGCACGTGGGGAAAGGTATTAACTATATTATATTACCTAGTCTCGAGATCAAAGGCGTAGATGATAGTAATAAGGGTATAGAAGATACGGAAGGCTAGGGTAGCGGCGTAGGTATCCTAAGTCGTTATCTAGAGGTCGCCTCGTATGCAGATCCTTGCCTTTACCTTTATAAGGTAGCCGTGTTTATCGAATTTATACTTAAAGACCTAGGTAAGAGGGATTATCTCTTTGTTAAGTGACTAGGCTTTAGTAATATCTACTACTATCTATACCCTCTTACCCTAGACTTCCTGTAGTTCCTTAAGCATAGTATAGTAGAAGTATCCTCGTAGCGAATAAGTTACTACGTCTTTAAAGTACCGGGGCTCTAGTAGTAGGTTATCTCTACGAATTCTCGGTAATAGTAGCGGACTACTAAGTATAGTATCCGGTATTAACGGAAGTAACGATT